ACTTCAATCGGATAACACATAACCGTTGTGAAGATCCAGCAAAGTTCCAGTTTTACTCTTCCAAAAGGAAACCTCTCCATTTTGTAACAACCCAATATAATGTCGAGTTTACCTATGGAGACAATGTTGGGATTGAGAGGTATAGGATTTTGAGTGTTGTTTGGCATTTTTGGAATTGTGGGAGCAGTCAGATGAAGTATAGTACTCACTGCTTCCGGCACCATAGCGTGCAGGCACAAAGGGCCTCCTAACGTCCTATCACTGGAAATGCTCACAAGAACTTCCTTCACAATGCGGGCACATGCGGTTTGGTGATGTTATTGGTAATATCATCAACGACCCGATAAGGAAGTGCTGACCAGCATCTGCTATATAACGTAACCCATTAAAATGCATGAGCTGTTTTTATAGACCCAAACCATCGCAGTACAACAAAAGTCCATCTGTAAACTGTGTAAAGAGTATCTTGTCCATTTCTTCATTGGGTTACCTTTCAATAACAAACACAACACAACATAATGAAGCTTCTAGAAAAAACTTCTGCTTTTCCATTTGAAAGTAGTCCATATGACTAACTTCCTTGTGGTGCTGCAGTGCCCTCTAGTGGTTCCTATACCACAATTTACAAAATGTTCAAATATCCTCCAATATCTCCCGAATTAAAGTTGTGTTAGATCATCGGTCTGTTCTCAATGTTCATATATATGATATATGAGGGAAGATATGACTGAAAGCATAATCAAAGATGATGAATGCTGTAGGTCATCACAATATGATCAACCAAGTTCCCTTCACTCTTAAAATACTCAATACTCCAGTGCACGTTCAAGCCACACAAGGTTTTTTTTTGTGTTATCCTGACTCAGTCTGTAGCGCTCTTGCCTCTAAATCAGAATGTTACAGGTACAAACTGCAGGTCAGGACTTGAACTCCATAGTCCAAGCTGACACACCATGCAGTGCTGGGAGATGTTGCATTGTTGGAGGTGCTGCCCTTCAGATGAGACGTTAAATCTAGGTCCCATCTGAAAATAAAAACAGAAGTCGCTGGGACTACTCACCAGGTCTATGGAAAAAGGAAAATGAGTCACCGTTTCGGGTCCATGACCCTTCATCAGAATCTGTCTGCTCAGATGGATGTTAACGATCCCCATGGCACTACTTGAGAAGAGTAGGCGCTTTACCCCAGTGTCCAGGCCAATAATCTCCCAAATAAAATTGGTCAATCACCCCATGGGCTGCCCAGTTTGCCTCCAAAATACACAGATACTCCACTTCACAGTAAAATCCTGTAAAGCAACTTGAACATCCTCTCAATGTGAATGAAATGTGCAAAATAAATGTAAATTTGTATGGTTTTATACCCTGGGTGTGATGCCACCTAGTAGCCGGAAAAGCATACCGAATAGCAATCAATAAGAGTACAAAATATATATATTTTTTGCAACTTGCATTTATGTCGCTCTGTAGCTCTCGTCTGAATGTTTCACAGACAGTGGTGCCTGTAGGCACAGTCGAAAAAATAGGTTTTTAGGCGGCATTTAAAGTCAGTTGGAAAGGGAAGCAAAACAGAGGTTCAACGGAGGGAGTTTCAAAGGTTGGGACATAGTTGTTGAAGGCTCAGACAACAATGAGAGCATAACGGGATGTGAAGTAAACTGAATGTAGCAGTAAGCGAGTTGAGTGAGCTGGAGTTGGATCCATTGCAGAGACTCACAAATAAACCGACAAATACACACACACACACACACACACACACACACACAGAGTCTTCAACAAAGCCTGTCCATGGTGTACATACGAGAACACGCCTCAGTTAAGATCCCCAAAGAATATTCTCACCTGCCACCTATGAGCACAATGTGGTTAACATTACTGTGTAGCAGCATTTGAAAACATTAAACAAACAGAAATGAGAAACAGATAGATTTAATTGCAAGGTTTTTTGTATGTGGAGGAAACTGATAAGCAAAATAGGGTAAAGGCCACTTCAGTTCTGAACCAGTTGCTCTTTATACAAACTGAAAATTCCCAAAGCTTATGAGCAAAGTTGGTAAATGCATTATAGGTAATGTAAATAAAGTGCTTTAAACAGTATCTGCACCATTGTTTTCAAAAATGCATTTTTAATGTCAATAAGATTTAAACGGCTACTTATCACAGAACAGCAGGCACTGCAACTTTTCACAGCTTACTTAATGTGTGATATCTAACATTTCTGCTAAAGAGTAGCCTCTGCACAAAAGTGGTGTCTGTACTTGCGTAACCAACTGGAGATTAGAGTTTCTGTTGTCTCTGGAGAACCACTGCATCAATTTCTCACTGAATGCAATCATTTACGTTAATTAATTAGTGAGTGCCACACAACACTGAAAACATGCTGGATTCCCAAGTGCTAGCATCTTAGTAGAAACATTTCAAGTCTTAAAACCAGTATAATAATCATTCAGAAATAAGACAACTTCGTTTTCAGAGTGACTCAATCTTACAATTCTCTGAAAATCTGAGAAGAGTTTATATTTTAACTACAGTACTTGTTTTTTTCACAAATGCATTACCTAACAGGATCCCTACCCTATTATGTTTACAGAAATTGTACTCGCCAAACCTTGACAGTTGTAGACGTTAACATTTTCTGCACACCAAAACTCAGATAACAGTAATAATAATCCATACAATTTTGACACAGCGCTTTTCACATCAGCAGTATGTCTCAAAGAACCTCACAGGATACAGTAAAACTCGCATAAGTCACATCAGTTGGGACCATAACAGTTAATATGATTGACGCGATGTTCGAGTTACAGGCAAACTTGCATTAATCGTATACAATCTAATTTAATCAATAATCTACGCTGCGCATGCGTAAATCAATGCAGCTGGCAAGTGTGCAAGCGGCAATTGGTCACTGCAGCAGGTAAATCTGCATGTGGTGACGAAAACAACAACAAATTACACTTGCATAGCTCCCTTCATGTCGGAAAGATTGAAAAGGCAAGATTGAAGAGGAAAATTTTTAAGGTGGGATTTGAAGAAAGACAGAGAGGGCACAATTAGAGGGATAGTGGCAAAGTTCCAGAGATCGAAGCATAATGACTGAATGCTCGTCACTGATGGTGGTATGAGAGGGCAGGGGACACGAGCCTGTATTAGCCATGGTTAGGGGACAAATTATTATTTACTGATTGTTCCAGAACATTGACTGAAACTTGTTTAAGCTATAGCTTCAAGCTACATTTCAACCTTCAGCTGAACTACATCAACAGCCAAGTTAAAATAAAGACTAACACAGAGTTAATTATGCAGCCTCATCTGATTTCAGAATACAAAATGTCAGTTGCTTGGTCATTGGTTGGGCTGCAGAGCTGAAGATTTGCATCAGTCTGTTATAAAAACCCGAGTGAGAATATTCTGGCATTTTCTACTGATTTTGTCAAGTCAATAAATACTAGATAATTGAATATTTCTCAAAGGATACACTGGCAGAACGTTGGAAACCCCAGACACTGCTTTCAGTTCAGGTCAACCTGACCCAAACAGAACGCATTCTCCGCAGAGTGTTAGAGTGTTCCAAATACAGTTCTGGCCACTCGGTTCTCCAGCCTGAATATTCAACAGCAGAATATGGTGGAGTCCTGTAGCTCAGTGGTTAGAGCACTCGCTTTGCAAGTGAGAGACCTGAGTTCAATTCCTGGCAGAGGGCGAAACCTTGTGCAAGTTTCCTTACTCCACACAGAGCCTAATAATAATCCCTCCAAAACTAAAAACAATAATAAATTGGTCATTTTCAATCTATGACTGTTTGTGGGACATTGCTGTGCGCAATTGGCTGCCGCGTTCGCCCACAAATATACAGTCAATTCACTTTACAGTGTGTTCTGTGAAGCGCTTTGGGACGTCCTCCCGACGTGAAAAGCGCTATATCAAATGCAAGGATTATTATTTATTATTAAGCTGAGCATCTTCAAAAGCTAAAGCTTTGTTTTGTTGTTTTATTTTCAAACACAGCTTCTCATTCTGCCTCCACCCTCGATTCCAGTACCACTGCTGTCCTGACAGATTGTCTGTCAAGACATCAAATCCTGGATGAGAGCCAACTTTCTGCAGGTGAACGTCAACAAGATAGAGGTCTTTCTGATTAACTCCTATCAGTGCCTCCACATCTCAGACGCTGAAAGCATCACTATTCACTGATGTACACTCAACCTCAGAGGTAGTTCGGAACATTGGTGCCTTGTTCAACCCTCAACTTTAAACCCCACGTCCATGTTATGACACGTTCTGCCTTTGCCCACCTCTATAACAATGCTCTCCTCTGAAACTACCTCTCCCTCAGATTGCCAAGACCCTCATCCATGCTTTCATTATGTCCAGGTTTGACTATGCTAACTCTCTGCTCTCCAAACTTTCCAACTCTTCCCTCCACAAGCTGTAGATTATTCAGAACTCTGCAGCTCATGTCCTCTCCCACACCAAGCTCCGTGAGCAGATCACCCCCATCCTCGCCTGGCTTCACTGACTCCCCATAACCCAGAAAATCGAGTTTAAGATCCTCATTCTCACTATCAAAGTCCTCCCTACCTTTGTCATCTACTAAAACCTTACCAGCCTTCCCGCTCCCTCTGCTTGGCAGGCACAGGCTGTTCCATGTCTCCCCGCCCTGCCCACCACACCAATGGTAGTTGGACTTCCAGCCTTTCTGCCCCGACCTTTAGAACTCCATCCCGGAATCCCTTTGCCTCCTTCAAGGCCTGTCTGAAGACCTTTCTCTTTAACCACGCCTTCGGTCATCTACCCACTCACTGCCTTCCCCCTCAGACCTCACCTCTCATTATTCCAACCCCCAGCTCGGCTGCAAACCTTTGACTGCCCAGTGCTTTGGGATATCATCCCGACATGAAAGGACCTATAATAAATATAATTTTGTTGTTGTTGTTGAATTGAATTACTCTACTCTGAAAGGAATACAAACCAATGGAAATAAAAGGGAATGGAGCTCACCAGTGACTTTGTAGGTTGATGAGTTGCAGACTTTCTGTTCTCCAGTTTGCTGCTGGTTGAAGAATCAGAATCAGTAAGATAAGAATCCACTGCACCCTGTGTTATGTCACTGATCTCTTCGTTGTCACTAAAACTGTCCCAGTCTATCGTGGGGGATTCATCTGAAAAGACAGAACATTTCATTCAACCAGTATTCTAACTACAGGTTTCATTTAAGCAAATTGCCAGTGATTTGTAAAATTGTTTGACCTTCATAATTTTGTTCATAGCAAGCTTCAGCAGAATCCAAACCAACTGAGCTTCCCAGCAGTGTCCAGATGATTTGGGGTTTGAATCTTGGGACAGTCCATTCAAACCTTTAGAAACTACTAAAATATTTAAAAAGTGTCTAAAACAAAATATTTTCCTGAAAATGAGGTGCTAATGAAACGATGAGCTTGGCAAAGCCAGTTAGGTTCCTAGTGATCCATGACAAATTTCTGAGATTTCCTCTAGACAAGGAAAACATATCTGAGAATCAGGACTTGCATTAGAAGTTTTCAGATAGAAAAATAGCGCCTTGTAACAGTAGCAGACTATCTGGTAAGTAGTTTTAGCAAAAACAACAGCAGGGAAGTGGGGAGTTAAATCAGAGATACAGATGCAGTTATGGAAATTTCCCATTTGTCTTAAATGGAGCACTTACTCCCTCCCCAAAGGGACGTAGCCTGCTTTTCTAATTCTGCACAGTATTACGCACAGGTTGACAGGAGCCAAGACCCAGGTGCACAGTCAAAAAGCCAACTTTCAACTAACAAGATTCTATTATAGAATTAATCCTAAAAAAAATTTCACAATGAAGAACATCTGAGTAATTCAACACTTTGTACTCAAAATAAAAGTATCCCAATTGATGATGGAATAGACACTAAAAAATTCAAATAAAAACAGAATAAGAAAATATGCATCAATACCAACACCCTCTCACACCAAAAATTGAAAAGGAGAAAAACAAATTGATCCCAATAGAGTATGCACTTCATGCTTTATTAACTGTCAGTAACAGCTTGTCTGCCGTGTAGACAGATACTTTGTTTGAGTCACCAGAAATTAACAACAGTTTCCCCAGTGGCTCAGAAGATGAATGAACAGCATTGGGTTGCATTGCATCATACAAATGAGAAACGTTCTGTCTCTATGCTGTATTGAGTTAGCCTCAGCCAGGAAACGAAATCAGTATGAATGTTATCCAGTACAAATGTACGAGGACAGGATAATATTGCTGCAAGAGGCCCCACTGTCAAATAACGCAGAACTGATAGAATTACGGTCTTGGCTTCTGTCAACGTGTGTGTAATACTTTGCAGAATTAGATAAGCAGGCTATCAGATAAATGGGAAATTTCCAAGCGTAGGCAATATGCATATGTAGAACTCTCTCTGGTTTGGAGACGCTTAAGCACGTCAATAGGCTTCTGTATGTTTCAGACACAAGTAAGCAATGCAGTGTGAGTACTGCATATTTTGGGGTATCTACTATTGCCCCAACAGGGCAGGGCTCATTGCCCACAGTCTGAGAACCACTGGTGCAAAACACTGGGGTTTTTAATTGGTCTATCTCTTCAAACAGTTAATTTTCAACCTCTAGCCACACAAAGAAAAACATAACTTACCTTCACTCATCTGGCTGTCTGTTAATGAGTTGATCATATGAAGGTACTTGTGGTAGGAATTGATTGTTCTTTGGGTTTTTGGCATCAATCTCTCTTTTGAATTACCCAGCAGCATTTCAGGATCTGACAGCTCACTATCACTGGAGCTCCACACAATGTTGTCCTTCTCCTCGGACTCCTGACCTCTGCAAATGTCTGCTGGACCAAACAATTACAACCCATGTCAAAAATTCACCTAAGTTCACAAAATGAGTTTACCCAAGTCAAATAAGCATTTATGCACAACTATATTATAGAAACTAATGTAGGATTTTGCAGATTTTTTTTGATGCATTACATAAAATTTGCTGATAATTCAAAATTTTGGCAATCAAATAAATCAACCTTAGATTGAACGGTTGGAAAGTCAGTAAAACCTTCGAAGATTTAATTCCTGGTCACAATCTTTGATAAGTTAATTCTGCAAGAACAGAACAAAATATTGATTGCAAAGAATGTAATTGCTCCTAAGATAGAGCTGTTCATTGGAACCCCAAGTACCCACATTAAAGAAGCACAAATCTGGATACAAAGGCACAATGATCCCGATAGCCATCTTACAGTACTCCATAAAAGAAACACAGACACCTATGGATGTAAGTTTAAAAGAGGCACTGATGCAGATCTGAATTAAGACTTGCAGTGGTGAGGAACCATAAGCAGAGAAAGGTATCATAGCAATGAAAGTCACCTCCTCAGGGACATAATCCATTATCTGATCTTAACAAATGTCAGCAGCAAGCATCCAATTGCAGGACAGGATGCAACCAAATTTGAGGCTAATTCATCCAGGACAAGAGCGAGAAAGAAGACAGTGTGCTCTAAACTGCAACAGAAAATTGGGAGACAAAAAAAATGAACGTGCTTCTGAATATTGCAGTCTTGCAGCCATGCAAGTCCTGCTGGTGGTGCTGTTGTGCTTGTAGAAATCACTTTTCATAGACACAGGATCAGTTCAAATGAAGAAAGTCTTTCAGGCCATTTCATCTCATTCTTCCAAAACCTCCCATTGTTTGGCATCCACCACTCTTCCTGGTAACCTGTATCATTGTTAAGTATCCTCTGGGTAAATACTTCCTCATGGCTATTCTGAAATTACTGTACGGAACCCTAAACCAATGGCCTCTTGTGATGCTTCCTTTGTGTATCTGAAAATATTGTCTGGGTTTACTTTGTCAATTTTATTTGAAATTTTATACATAGATTATATATATACACACATAAATACATTATGTGTGTGTATGTATATATATATATATATACACACACATGCTGACAAGGTCAAGTTTTCAATACTGAAGAGCTTAAGTTATCATTGCTCGTAGCCCAATCTTCTAACACTGGAGATCATACTCATTGTTTTCCTCTGCATTGCCCCCATGGCCTGGACAACTCCTTTAATGCTTCAGTTCCCCCCAACTTGAAGTAATCTGCATCATCTGTAAATGCATGTCATTGATGGATACCAGGAACATAAGGAATCCCAGTACAAAACCCTGAAGCACCCTAATTTAATACTGCCTCCCGTTTTGATCTAGCTCCCCTAACAACCATCCCCTCTTTCTTTCCCTTCAGTATTTTGAATCCAAGTCTTTGATAGCAAGAGACATCAGTTTACAAATGAAACTGAGCTGAATCAGAATATTCCCAATACTATTTCGCATCAAATATTTCACACCTATATTGCAGTGGTGATTTGATCTCACAATCACTAAATTTCAGACATAAGCAGAAAGGCAGAAGCAACCTGCTTGACAATCATGTATGATCTGTGGACAACTAAACAAGATATTAAAGAATTAAGCCTAAATTAAAAAGAGATTGCATGGACAATACAGTTCCTGTAACTCATACAACTGATCTTTCCACATACAATCAGAGGTCATATGTTCACATACATATAACCCCCTCTCTTAGCAGTTTTAGTCTGACTGGTAAATACTGGTGAATTGCAACTATTTGCAACTCCTCCGACCCTCTCACCCCTCACCTCAAATGCCAACTGCGAGGTGATGCTGGACTTCCTCGAATCCAAAGTCGAGGGAATCCGCTCAGCTGCCTCTGCAACTACTATCCCCTGCCAATCTCCTACTCCCACCCCAGCCCCTACCCGTCTCCCCCTCTTCTCTCATCACCACCATAACCCATATGAAACCCACCACCTGCTCCCTCGACCCCATCCCTACATCCCTCCTTACCCCACAGCTCCACCTCCTTGCCCCTCTACTCACTGACATTGTTAACCTCTCCCTGTCCTCTGGTACTGTTCCCACCCTTTTAAAAAACGCTATCATCTTTCCTTTCCTTAAAAAGCCCTCCCTCTACCCTTCTCTACTCTCCAACTACCATCCTATCTCCAACCTCCCCTTCCTCTCCAATCTTGTGTGGCATTCCTCAGGGCTCTGTCATTGGTCCCCTCCTCTTCAACATCTATACGCTGCCTCTTGGTGACATCATCTGCAGACATGGGGTCAACTTCCACATGTATGCGGATGACACCCAACTCTACCTCTCTGCCTCCACTCTCGACTCCAGGACCACAGACTGTGTCAGGACACTCCTGACAGAGTAATTCTGGACTCTTGACTAATGTTCCTCCTATGTCATTGATGTACAATGGTACATTGATTCAGATTATCACCTGAATATCACTGTATAATAGTCACCAAACCTAAAAGTATTTCATTTGGTGAGGCCCTTCCCAAAGCTTTAAATGTATATTTTTTAAAAAACATGACTAAGATTAGAAATCTACCACGTAGAGAACGTCTGACATGGGAGTCCACAACCTGTTCCATTACGCACAGTACACTAAAGATTCAATGGTCTGCAACTAATGTTAACTGACCTTAATAATAGTTTGTGGAGTCAGGGATGGAAAATGAAGGCTATCGTGTGAAAATGTATCATAAATGTACAAGCCTAACCTTGAGCAACATAACCCACAAGCATGGTCCTAGCTTTCATATGCATGCTAATGATACTCTAACAAGCACAAGTTGTATATCAGAAAATAAAGAGTGGGCATTGCTTAGCATTTATAATAAATAAATATTCCTTGCATTGGTTATAGCGCCCTTCACATTGTCATGATGTTTCAAAGGGCTTCACAGGAATTCTGTAAAGTGAATTAACTGTATATTTTGATGGTGCAACGCGGCATCCAATTGCACACAGCAATGTCCCACGAACAGTCGTGGATCTAGTGACCAAATTATTATTATTTTTTGAAAGGATGATTAACCCTGGTAAAACAATCCACCAATCGGGTAATTATTAACTAATTATTATTAATAACAACTGGGTTGACTGTGTATCATGTGAGCGAAATGCGGCAGTCAGTTGCACACAGCAATGTCTCACAATTAGCCATAATAATAATAATCCTTGCATTTGATATAGCGCTTTTCAAGTCTTTTAGACGTCTCAAAGCGCTTCACAGAATATGCTGTAAAGTGAATTGACTGTATATCTGTGGGCGAAATGTGGCAGCCAATTGCGCACAGCAGCGTCCCAAGCAGCCATGGATTGAAAATGACCAATTTACTATTGTTTTTTGGAGGGATTATTATTAGGTGTGTGGAGTAAGGAAACTTGCCCAAGGTTTCGCCCTGCCTGGAATTGAACCCAAGTGTCTCGCTTGCAAGGCTAGTGCTCTAACCACTGAGCTACAGGACATCAGATAAGGATGGATCACAAGACTGGAGCATCATGGATTAATTAACCTTTCAGATTTCAAGGCTTCTAACTCCTTTGCAGGGAATCATTAAGGCCCTCACAGGCTAAATATTTTTGCAAACTCTGGAATAAATGGAACAGGCAGAAAGTGCACATCAATTTCTCTATTCTACTCAATTTCTGGTCAAAGTCACTAATGACATGCTGAACCCTATGATCAGGGCTCCCTCTGCCTCCTTGTCCTCTCTGCCGCCTTCGACATTGTCGACCACTCCACCTTCATACACCGCCTCGCCGCTTTGCTCAATCTTCACGGAACTGCCCTTGCCTGGTCCGATTCCTATCTCTCCCAAGTCTCCACTTCGTTGCCTTCAACGGTTTCTCCTCCAGCCCCCGTAATGTTACATTTGGCGCCCCCCAGGGCTCTGTCCTTGGCCCTCTCCTCTTTAATATCTATATGCTCCCCCTTGGTGACATCATCCACAGACATGGGGTCAACTTCCACATGTATGCGGATGACACCCAACTCTACCTCTCTGCCTCCACTCTCGACTCCAGGACCACTGCTGTCCTGACAGACTGCCTGTCGGACATCAAGTCCTGGATGAGGGTAAATTTCTTACAGTTGAATGTGAACAAGACTGAGGCCCTCCCAATTGGCTCGCGTCAGAGCCTCAGCACCTCAGGCTCTGACAACATCAACCTCCATGGTTGCACACTACAACTCACCAAGCCAGTCAGGAACTTAGGTGTCTTGTTCGACCCTCAACTCTTTCCCCCCTACATCCAAGCCATGACCCGCTCTGCCTTCCCTCACCTCCATAACATCACCCAACTCTGCCACTACCTCACCCCTCAGGCCGCTGAAAATCTTGTTCATGCCTTCATCACCTCTAGGCTCGACTATGCAAACGCCCTGCTTGTCTGCCTTCCCAACTCCGCCCTCCACAAGCTGCAGATAATCCAGAACTCTGCAGCCCGTGTCCTCTCCGGCACCAAACTCCAAGACCCTATCTCCCCCACTCTCGCCCGACTCCACTGGCTCCCTATTCTTCAGAGGATCCAGTTCAAGATTCCTGGTCCTCACATACAAAGCCCTCCTTAGCCTCGCCCCACCCTACCTCTGCAACCTCCTAAGCCCCTGCCAACCCGTCTGTTCCCTCCGCTCAGCCGGCTCTGGCTTGCTCCACGTCCCCCGATCCACCCACCCCACCCCACCATTGACGGGAGAGCCTTCAGCCACTCTGCCCCCAATCTCTGGAATTCCATCCCCCAGTCACTCGGCCTCGCTCCCTCCTTAGCCTCCTTCAAGTCCCATCTCAAGACCCTCCTCTTCGACCATGCCATCGGCCACCCCACTTCCCCTCCCCTCCCCCCCCAACCCCAGCTCGGATCTGAAATGCTGTACTCTGTCCAGCGCCTTGGGACATCCTCCCGACGTGAAAGGCGCTATACAAATGTAATCTTGTCGTTGTTCTACCCTTAAAATCAAGGAATAATCCTGTAGCCATGGAGTGAGTGACCAGTTTTATTTGGGGAACTGTTGGCCCTTCTCTTTTCAAACAGGGCCATGGGATCTTTAACACCCACCTGAACTGGCAGACATTACCTCAGTTTAATGGCACCTACGACAATGTAACACCTCCACAGCACCTCATTGGAGTGATTCCATGTGATTCCAAATCCCAAGTTGGCGCTGGAACCCACAAGGGTCTGACTCAGAGGCAAGATTGCTACCACTGCGCTAGGCTGACACACAAAGTCAGACTTTGTGTTATATCCTGGCGCAGTGGTAGTCATTTCTAAGTTGGAGAGGAATGGAACTTTAGGTTCTATCTGAAGGATAAAAAGTTGAAACAAAATTCTATGCAAATTTTAACTGACCAGAGCAGCAATTCACAGGCAACCAGCAAATACAGATTCCAGCTGATTTCTGTTCATATCTTTGGAATAAATTTGTGTTAAATTAAAAGATGACACTCAGTTAAAAATACACAGCACATATAATCCATGTAATCTATGAATGTAAAATCCCAGACAAAATACCTTCATTAGACTGCAGTGCAGAGGTAAGGCTTCGGACTACTTGTAACTTCTTCCCTAAAGGTCCATCATCCTGTTAAAATAAGTAACATATTTATTGTTGAACTTGAAGAGCAAAAATACAGTTACTATACTTCAAAGTATATTTCCCAACCAGTTTTCTTTCCAAAATGTTTTCTGGGTTATAGCTTCATGGGCACTGTTCCTCCAATACCTTATCCAAATTGACATTCTTGATGCATAAGATCAGACAATAAGTGTCATCAGGCTGTCTGATCCTTAGTTGCATCAAGACTGAGTCTAATTCCAGCCTCCTCTAAAGTGTACACATACACCTGTCCGGAGGGTTCACTGGATAGGATGTAGATGTTTTCTCCTCCCCAGTCTAAAGGCAATGAAGCCACTTGTGGCATCCTTTCTACCATCATCTCAGCTGAGTTTTAACTTGAAAACTTCACAGTGACAAGGCTCAGTTCTACACTGGCAGTGCTTTTATACACTAAGTCACAAGAAGTTCCCAATACTTTTCAAAAAGGTTTGTGTTAATTAACTATCAATATCCTGCATTAACAAATATTTGAGATATACACACAATTGCTTTTTAAAAATCCAGAGCAAAATCTTAACACAGATAAATGTTTCTGCTAGTTCAAGCTCTTTGTAACTTATTACAGTATAATTAACCTGTCCGAGTCCTTACTGGAGGTCTACTAGTTTAGTCATAAACTTCATTACCTCCTGAAAGAAAAAATGAATTTGCTGATCCTTAGGATTCTTAAAAAATAAGGCTTCACAATTTAAGAAACATAACATTGCATTTCCCAGGGAAAGAACCAGCATAAAGATCTTTTATAAATATTTTTTATAATATCTTTTTATAAATATCATAAATATCAAATGCAAGGATTATTATTATAAAATAAAACATACAAGGAAAAATGAACTCTATCAAATGTTTATCTGCACCAGAACCTCACAGTTGGATGACGTCAGTTTGTTAATAAGATTGATATTTGGGTGTACAATATGCTGGAGCTCCAGTATGCTGCTCCAGATTGGTGTGATCACACCCACAAGCCTCCATATTAAGAAGCCAACTTCAGGCGTGCCAGTGTGAGCAAACACTCCGAGATGCTTTATTGGGCGCCATATAAATGCAAGTATGCTATATAAATGCAAGTTATTGTTGTTGTAAGTAATTATTTAGTGATCCACTAAAGGGAAGGAGACAGTCAGCCCAGGTCATTTATGGGTACTTCAAAGTGGCAGGTTTCACAGAAGGATTTCCAAGTGCTGCTCATCAGTTTATTATTGTTATTATTATTATTATTATTATTATCAGCTGCCCATCAGTCAAAGGTACTTACGGTACAAGAAAACTCGATAAAAGGGAGCAAGAGAAAATACATACATACAATGTTGCTCCATTAACTAATTTCAGGTGACACAGGCTGGCGGTTTGCAGAGGGGAAATAATGTATTTTTCATTTCTCCAGAGTTGGCCACACCTGCTATGCTGACAGTTTTGACTTTATAATACATTTTTTACTAATTATTCATTCACATCCAAAGGAATATTACAGTCTTAGATGCACGCTATTCATATTTGTCCAATGCACTATATTACATTACCTCAATTTGTGAAGAGTCTTGAAAACCTTCCCCACACCGGTCCCATGATTTTCCAATTGAAGGCATAGACTTCTTAACAAGGCTCCTTGGTCTTGTGCAAGTAATCTCCACATCGTGTGGAAAATTACTGCCCTGAACCATTTCAGATCTTTTGCGCTGAAAAGCACACAAATAATTCAAGTTGAGAAATAATAGTCTTTGTTTGTATCATTTCCACAGAGAAAAAAATTATATAAATAGAGAGTGTGCAGTGACTGGACCTGGATACCCTTCCCTGAATAGCACAATCTGGTGTGAAGGCAGCTATATAAATACAAAATAATCATGTATAAATAGAAGGGTGTAGTGACTGGAAATGGATACTCCTCACTGTATAATAATAATCCTTGCATTTGATATAACGCCTTCTCATGTCGTTGAGTCGTCTCAAAGCACTTCAACAAATGTACTGTAAAGTTAATTGACTGTATATTTTGTGGGCGAAATGCAGCAACCAATTGTGCACAGCAGTGTCCCACAAACAGTCGTGGATTGAAAGACCAATTTAGCTTTATTTATAATTTTTCTTGAAGAGATTATTACCCCCAGAAAAGCGATGCACCAATCAACTAACAACTGGGTGCTTACTTGCTGCTACATAAACAGAGGCAAGTGGAGTAAGGAAACTTGCCTAAGGTTTCTCCTGCCCAGGAATCAAACTCAGGTCCTCTCTTGCGACACTAAGCTATAGGATTCCACTATAAACAGAGAACATGCAGTAGACTGGGCATGGCTCTCCCTCGCTATAAACAGAGAACATGCAGTGACTGGGCATGGCTCTCCCTCACTATAAACAGAGAACATGCAGTGACTGGGCATGGCTCTCCCTCACTATAAACAGAGTGGGCAGTTAAGCGGGGAAATCCTCACTGTGTGGACAGGCTGGACAGTGAGACTGGGCAGGGAGACCCTCACTGTATAAACAGTGTGTACAGGCTGAGCAGAGAGACCCTCACTGTATAGACAGAGAGACCCTCCCGTATAGACTGGGCAGGGAGACCCTCACTGTATAGACTGGGCAGAGAGACCCTCACTGTATAGACTGGGCAGGGAGACCCTCACTGTATAGACTGGGCAGGGAGACCCTCACTGTATAGACAGAGACCCTCCCGTATAGGCTGGGCAGGGAGACCCTCACTGTATAGACTGGGCAGGGAGACCCTCACTGTATAGACTGGGCAGAGAGACCCTCACTGTATAGACTGGGCAGAGAGACCCTCACTGTATAGACTGGGCAGGGAGACCCTCACTGTATAGACTGGGCAGGGAGACCCTCACTGTATAGACAGAGAGACCCTCCCGTATAGGCTGGGCAGGGAGACCCTCACTGTATAGACTGGGCAGGGAGACCCTCACTGTATAGACTGGGCAGAGAGACCCTCACTGTATAGACTGGGCAGGGAGACCCTCACTGTATAGACAGAGAGACCCTCACTGTATAGACAGAGAGACCCTCACTGTATAGACAGAGACCCTCACTGTATAGACTGGGCAGAGAGACCCTCACTGTATAGACAGAGAGACCCTCACTGTATAGACAGAGAGACCCCCACTGTATAGACAGAGAGACCCTCACTGTATAGACAGAGAGACCCTCACTGTATAGACAGAGAGACCCTCACTGTATAGACTGGGCAGAGAGACCCTCACTGTATAGACTGGGCAGAGAGACCCTCACTGTATAGACTGGGCAGAGAGACCCTCACTGTATAGACTGGGCAAAGAGACCCTCATTGTATAGAGACCCTCTCATTATACACGGGGAGACTCCGCTGTGTACACGGGGAGACCTCCGCTGTGTACACGGGGAGACTCCGCTGTGTACACGGGGAGACCTCCGCTGTGTACACGGGGAGACCTCCGCTGTGTACACGGGGAGACTCCGCTGTGTACACGGGGAGACTCCGCTGTGTACAGAAGCTGACAATGTTAACACGAAGCTGATCCTCGGGGTTGGCGGTTCAGGCGGGGAGAGGCCCTCACACAGTCCCTCTCCGCGGGCGGGCGGGCGGGCGGGCGGGCGGGCCGGGGGCCGGGGGCCCGGGCGGCGCTGTACCTTTCTGGCCGCGGCCATGTCTCAGGCTGACGGGGCCGCGGCTCCGCGCTCAGGCCTCGGGCTGCCGGGACACGTGTTACCATAGCACCCGGAAAGGGCACGTGACCAGCCGTCCGCGAGAGCGAGGCTCCGGGGCGGGTTGGGCGGGTTCACGCCCAATTGGGCGGGTTTGCGTGTAAAAAAAAGCTGCTTTGGGCGGGTGCCTAATTTACAGAATTTTTTTTTAATTGAAACTTGGTTTCGGTGCCCAATGTCAGGACTTGGAATACATGATCTAATGAAGGCTGAACTCATCATCATTATTATGGAGTCCTGTGGCTCAGTGGTTAGAGCACTCGCTTTGCAAGTGAGAGACCTGAGTTCAGTTCCAGGCAGAGGGCGAAACCTTGGGCAAGTTTCCTTACTCCACACAGAGCCTAATAATAATCCCTCCAAAACCAAAAACAATAATAAATTGGTCATTTTCAATCTATGACTGTTTGTGGGACATTGCTGTGCGCAATTGGCTGCCGCGTTTGAGGGAGAGTTTCAGGGAGTAGTGGCTAAAAGCCATGGCCACCGATGGTGGTACGAGGGATACGTTGGGAGTATGAAAGGATTTGAAAACGAGTTGAGAATCTTGAAATCAATCTGTTCGGCGATATGGTGTGAACTGGTGTGATGGGGGTACGGAGTTTACAACGAGTGAGTATGCGGTCAGCAGAGTTTGGAATCAGTACAGTAAAATCCTGTGAAATGCTTTAACGTGTTGACACCGTTTAAGGCACAATATCAAATGAAAGGTTTATTTATAAGCCATTTATAGTTGTGTATTGTTAAAACTGTTTCACTTGAACAAAAATCCTCAGGTTCAATTTACTGCACTGATTAATTTTCATGTTAGAATATGATTCCTAACAGTTGATAATGAAAGTCAAGAGTGTTAATATAATTAATCAGTCCATAAGGAACAGTAGAGTGTTCCTCATGGATCAATGAAAGCTAGTACATTTGATTATAAAATACATCATTAAAGCAGGAATACAACTTCTGTAAATTCAGAATACTTAAAATCTCCCTGATGTTCCGCATTAATCCAAGGCAAATGTTACTGGTATCAACAAAGTTTCAAAAACCTTAGTAGGGCATCATCAATTAGACATATCACAACTTTTTGGTCACCCCATATATATTAATATACTCAAAGGCATAGTAATGTGCACACCTAATTTGTACTACTGTTGGTCTACAGTATATCTACTGAATCAGGTGTGCAACACAGTTATTGTCCCAGTATTGGAATTGCAGGAGACTTGTACCAATGTACACAATTAGTGTATGGCCTAATTGTTGTATACGGGCTTGTTGTACAACCCATATACTAAAACCAACGTTGAGAGTCAGTATTTGAAGTGCAAGATTTTGTACAGTCACAAACTCACATGTTGGCACAGCTAGAGAAAGTATTTAGGGGGTGACTCTCATATGGTGGACATAAGTTACAGAACGCCTCGTGCCACCCAGCAAATAGAACTACATGGCTCATTAACGAACCTCTGAGCCAAGGGAAACAAAATATTGGTTTGACTTCATTTAAGACCCTGAATGACTTGCAGCAAGAAGAGACAAATGATGGTGAAACCAATTGGATGCAAAACATGCTATTTTTCTGTCAGTCAACCAACAAATGTTAAATCTGCCATGGTAAGAGAATTAAGCAACATAGAGAGAAGACACAAAATGGGATTAATAGATCTGTGGAACAGATCTGATGGGCTGTACCTTTTGCAAATGTGTAACTGCTCATTTTACATTTCAAAATATGTAAGAATTGTTTTTTAAAAATAAAATGCACTGATTGTCTTTCAGCAGTAATAAAACTGGTAGGAGTTTGACTGATATAGCATTGATTTAAAATATTGGAAAATGGCAGACTAGCTGTAGTTAATGTAATCCATCTTCTAGTAATTTGCTGAGTTAGTACTTTATTTTGCTAGCTGTATGCACTTACTACTTTGCTAAGTGCACATCTGAAAACTAGCATGGCAGTAATGGCACTAAAAGGATACCTACTTCCTGAAGCACAATTTACCATTCAGCCATAATTAAAGAGCAAAACTGCCAACAGTATGGTTTATCTACTCGTGAGAGAAACTTATTGAGCCAGCGATGGGGGTAGGGAAAGAAACTCTCTCCACCAGCTTCTCAATCAAAAACAAAAAAATACATTTGTATAGGACCTTTCACATTGCGAGGGTCTCCCAAAGTGCTCAACAGTCAAAGATTTGCATCTCAGCTGGGGATTGGGATCAGGAGGGTTGGAGAGCAGGGAAGGTTGGGGTAGGAGGGTGTCTGAAGATGTAGTCAAAGAGGAAGGTGTTGAGACAGGCTTTTAAGGAGGCAAGAGAGGGGGGCCGAGGCGATGCACTGGGAGTTCCAAAGGGTTGGGAGCAGAAAGGCTGAAGGTGGGGCACCAATAGTGCGGCAGGCAGGTCAGGGGACATTGAGCAGGCCAGAGCCTGCTGAGCGGAGGGAGTGAACAGGTTAATACCGAATTGGTGATAACAAAAAATGTCCAAGTGACCAGGGCAGCTCATCCAAAAATCAAACTGAAAATCTTTTGTAAAGTTACACAAAAAAAATATTCTGAACAAATGGGAAACTTTCAGTCAAAACCCAAGCTTGGAATAGTTCAGTGCTTATTCGGTGCATCCAACCTTTTCAAGAAGCTTGTTTACAGTGGATTGAATACCAGAAGCTAGTAAATATCCAGAGTGTTACCCTTGACAAAAAAATTTAAGTCAATCTTTTATTAAAAAATAGAACTGTAAGAGAGGTTGACAGTTCCATTATGCAAAATTAAGACATATGGCCCTGTAATGTCTGTGTAGACAAGGAGCTTTATTGTTAGTGCTGAACTTAATAGCAATGAAGTGATAGAATATGCTCCATTTAGCCACAATGTGCAGCTTAAGAATTTCAGATCCTCGCTCATTACAATTGTCTAAATTCATCCTCTTTGCCCACCAACACAAATACAAGAAAAGTAACATCAAACTGCAATAGTACAAAACCTAAGCTGTTGTTTATAGCAGCATTGGACTTGAAGTAGAACTAATTTTGTCTAACTGGTTTGCCTTCTTGACTATCTCTAGTAATTCAAGAGAATTGGGGAGAAGGTCCTTGATTTCATTAAACATATTGATCACTTTCGTTGAATATTCATATTACATTTTTTAAAATTTATTCCTATTACAGCATCAAGCAGTCCTGCAGTTTGTTAAATAAATCAAACTGAGCATTCCATGCATCCCATTTACACATAGAAATTCCAGAGATAATTTGTTGGAATAGAATACACCCTCTCTCCCTTGGAGGGACTTGACCTGGTTACCGAATCCCAGAAAGTATTTGGTGCAGGAGCCAAGGTTTTGGGAACCCAGAGTGTGCATTGGGGTACTGCTGGAGTCTAAGCAGCTAAATCCGCATAGCTTGCTGTTGATATCATTGTCTGGCAAGCTTTCCCGCTGTTTGTCCAGTTAGGAGCACCCTAGCCTTTAGGGTTTTGGCTTTCAGGGTTAACAGGAGCTGAGTGGGACGGTTCCCTGACCCCAGTGAATGGTCTGCCCTTCCAGGTCCTGCAGATAACCCAGGCTGACTGCGCGGTCATCAGCAGTGCCCTGGAATATTGCGGACTCGTGGGGCTCAGAAGCGGGACTACCATGATCACCAGAGGGCTGGCTCGATTCTGACATTCCGTTGGCAAACAGGTCACCTAGGAGACAGTTCAGCTCGAAGGAGACCCTACGGACATCCCTCCCAGGAGCATAGTCACGTGTATCTTTATGAGGTTCCAAGAAGCGAGGCAACAATAATAGACTGGAATTAAAAACATGAGAAGCTTTTAAAATGTGTGAACCTACGGATAAACATTCACATCAATCAGAGCAGTAAGAAAAGAAATTAGGGTCTCATCTACATTTTGAGGTGGACATTAAGATCCTATCATATTACTCAAAAAGAAAAGGGAGTTTCTCCTGGTGTACTCGGGTAACAACTCCCTAAAATAAAACTGGTCATTCACTTCATAGCTGTTTGTTGGACATTGCTGTACGCAAATGGACTGCCACATTCACCTACAAATACACATTCAGTACATTTCACAGTAAAATCCTGGGAAGCACATTGAAACGTCCTTCTGACGTGACAGACGCTATATCAAATTGCAAGGATTATCATTATAGAATACTTTCTAGCCCCATGTCTACAGGCTGTAGAAACCCAGTTGTGCCGCTCTGGTACCTGTGTAGTTTTGTTTGGCCTGGACATATTTGGATTACTGTGGAGATTGGCACATTCCAGCAAGCTTGCAGTTACAAAGCACCAAAAATAAATAATGCTGGTTCTGATTATTTTAAATAGCTTTGTGTATGAGACCCTTTGCACAATCTGTTCATTCAAAGTGAAATTTCAGTTTTCTGTTAAATAAGAAAAAACATGACATTTGCATGCAGACTGAAAGAACCAAATGGAGTCATGTCAGGCTATTTGTCTATAGCTTTTATCACATGCAGCAGTGGAGTGGTATCCTGACAGGGCTCAGGTATGTCATGTAAAATGGGGGCGTCAATTTATAAAGCATAAAACAAGGAATTTGGCACTGGCAACTTTACCAAGAGGACGAAATATAAACTAACACAAAATGTAATCATATTTAGAGTGGGATGGAAGTATTAACCTTAATTAACTAAAATTAATTCTCCTATATATAGGCCTTCACCATGAGTTTCATTAACGTCAATATGCCTATTGGAAATTTCAGTTAGAAGATTCATTTACCCTTTTTCACTGATAGCCTTCTGAGGATGAAAGTTGCATTTAATACACGTGGACAACGTCCCACAAACAACCATGGAGTGAGTGGCCAATTTATTTGAGGGGGGGGGTGGGGGGGGATTTGTTGGACAGGGCACCAGGAAAAACTCCTTTCTTTTTTTGAATAGTGTCACAAGATCTTTAACATCTACCTGAATAGGTAGAACGGGACCTTGGTTTAATATCTCATCTGAAGGACAACAACCTCCGACAATGTAACACC